TCATTTGTTACTATTGTCATTATTCATAATTACTGTTCTACTTGTTCATTGTTATCGCAAATTATTAAGGCACTTACCCGTCAACCTTCTGAGAAGACGCTCAAAGAAACGACGAATGATTTGCGCAAGACTAAGAATGAAACAGCTGATGATTTGTTGAATAACATAGATGATAAATATTTGTCATCATCGCAGGACGTCTTCTCAGATATGCTGCCGAATGAACGGGAAGCTGTTGAACGAAATGGGAATTGCGATCAAAGTAATGACAATCAAAATGAAAATACTGGAGGTGAAAGTGTGAATAAGGTGCACGATGAAGACGCCGTTCGCAGTGAACTTCAAAATGAAATTAAAAAAGAAGTCGAAAATAAAATCGGCGATAAACAAAAAGAAAGCGAAAAAGACGAAAGTTCGAATGCGAATCAGAACACAAATTCGGCGTCTATATCGGCGAACACAAATTTTGAAAGCGACGAAATCTATCGGTTGATGTTAGCCGAGGCGCAAAAACCGCGTGCCGATATTCTCTTCTCGAATAGCCAATCTCAACAGCAAACCAGTGCTGAAACAACGACCGCGACTACACAAGATAAGATCTTTGATATTCCAACTTCACCAACGAAAGTTTCTCACTCAACACCAACGAATCGAGTGAAATCGTCAGCAAGCAATCCATCGACAAACAGAATCAAGCGATCACGACGACGATCGAACAGAACATCCAAAATCACAACATGGGAGAAGAGATTTCAACAAACCCTAACTGCTTCAAACAATAGGGAATCAGCGCCGACAGCAATGGATGTGGATAGCGACAATTATGATCGGAATGTTGAAATGGATAAAAGAAACAATAGTATCATTGATGACAATGATGAGGATGACTTTGCGAATGTGAAAAATATTAATGAAGCGGTCAAGAAGAGGAAATCGTCAAGTGGAGGCAATCACAAGAAACGAAATATTCGCATTACACCAAAGTCAACTTCAGCGTGGTCGGTGTTTTTTTGGTTTCTGTATTTGCGAATTTGATTCGCATTGTTTAGAATTAGTTTTTCAAAATTTGATTTGAATTTCGCAGAATTTGATGGTGATTCTTGGAATTTATTTTGATTTCTTCTCATTTTAAACATTTTCTCATGGTTCTTTGAACCATTTATGTATTACGGTTAGATTTTATGCGCTACACATTGCATTTATTGCGCTTACTTTTACGTATTATGTGAATGACATTCATGTGAAATGTTATTGGGATACTGTTAAGGTTTATGGAATTACCATAAGAATGTTGATTTTCATCTATATTAATAACATGGAACTTGAATTTTTTGGGGGGCGAAGAACATATTGACAATCCAATTAACGGTTAAAAAATTCAATTTCTAGTGTTACTCCAACGAGTTCGACCAAAGAAATGAAAGGCAACTCAAAGAAATTGAATTCGAGTCACAGGAAGAGGCGATCGAGCAGTGAAAGTTGCAGCTATAGACCTCATACGCCCGTACTTTGCTCCTCTTCAGCAAATACACCGACTAGAAGATGTGCGTTTTATTGTTTGTTTCGCTCTTTATTCACTTAACTTTTTTGTTTTGTTTTTGTTTGTTCATTTATTTACACAATTATATGCTCATTTACTTATGAGGTTATCTCTTTTTGTTTATTGCTGTTTACTTATTTGTTTGTTTGCTTGTTTGTTCACGGTCGACGAATACGAGTAAGCAATGAGTTACGGAAAAGGGAATTCGAATCGGAATCAGAATGCAAACGAGATTTCAACAAACCTTATCTTTATCAAATTTTCGGCAATTTGCGTCGATTATGAAATTAGGACGCGAATATTTTGCGTTGTTATGCGAGCCCTGACTAATAATTGTACATATGAATGTTGATGATATCTTAACGCAGTCTGTTTAATCGGTTTTTTGAATATGATTTTGA